TGAGAGGACAATTTCCCAAAAGAATAATAACAATTGTAAACCGCTTTGTGACCCTTGTCTGTGAAAGGCGGTATATAAATAAACATTACTTACTTACTTACTTACTTACTATAAATGGTTAGTTTGTGTGTTGACTATTCACAGCTGAAGGACATCTGTCTCAGGAGTCACTTTAACAACAGTCACTTTAACAACAGTCACTTTAACAACAGTCACTTTAACAACAGTCACTTTAACAACAGTCACTTTAACAACAGTCACTTTAACAACAGTCACTTTAACAACAGTCACTTTAACAACAGTCACTTTAACAACAGTCACATGATCAACGCTGTAGTTTGGAGTCATTTGCGTTGTCAATATAGACTGTACAGAAGATGGACAATGCTAATCGGCTAGCTCAACACAATGCAATAAGAAAGTGCCCACACACACACACACACACTCACGCGCACACATACACACACACACACATAAACATACACATACACACTCCCCCCTGGACTGCCACCTTAACGTGGTGGGGGAGTTTGGGCACTCGGATGATCCTGGGAGCTATGCTGTCTGGGGCTTCATGCCCCTGGTAGGGCCTCCCATGGCAGACAGGTCTCAAGTGACGAGTCAGACGAAGCGCAGTCCGAAGCCAACCATGGACAGCACGACAACAAAAACCGTGACGTCGCCCGGCATGGCGCAGCCGGGGCCCCACCCTGGAGCGAGGCCTGGGGTCGGGGCTCGCAAGCGAGCGCCTGGTGGCCGGGCCTTAGCCCACGGGGCCCGGCCGGGCTCAGCCCGAAGGGATGACGTGGGCACTCCCTCCTGTGGGCCCACCACCTGCAGAGGGGTCCGTGGTGGCATGGTGCAGCGAGGACTGGGCGGCGGTCGAAGGCGGAGACCTCGACGACCCAGTCCACACACCCAACATCTGGCTGTTGGGACGTGGAACGTCACCTCACTGGGGGGGAAGGAGCCCGAGCTCGTGGGGGAGGTTGAGCGATACCGACTAGAGATAGTCGGCCTCACCTCCACACACAGCTTGGACTCTGGAACCCAACTCCTTGAGAGGGGTTGGACGCTCCACTTTTCTGGTGTTTCCCGCGGGGAGAGGCGGCGAGCTGGGGTGGCCATACTCATTGCCCCCCATCTCAGCCGCCACGTGTTGGAGTTCTCCCCGGTGAATGAGAGGGTCGCGTCCCTCCGCCTCCGGGTGGGGGACAAGTCTCTCACTGTTGTGACGGCCTACGGGCCTAACGGTAGTGCAGAGTACCCGGCCTTCTTGGAGTCCTTGGGAGGGGTACTGGACAGTGCACCGCCCGGGGACTCCGTTATTCTCCTGGGGGACTTCAACGCCCATGTGGGAAATGCCAGTGACACTTGGAGAGGGGTGATCGGGAAGAGCGGCCCCCCTGATCTGAACCCGAGTGGTGTTCAGTTGTTGGACTTCTGTGCCAGTCACGGCCTGTCCATCACGAACACCATGTTCGAGCACAAGGGTGTCCACCAGTGCACGTGGCACCAGGACACCCTAGGCCGGAGGTCGATGATCGACTTTGTTGTCGTATCATCTGACCTTCGACCGCGTGTCTCGGACACTCGGGTAAAGAGAGGGGCGGAGCTGTCAACCGATCATCACCTGGTCGTGAGTTGGATCCGCTGGCAGGGGAAGAAGCCGGTCAGACCTGGCAGACCCAAGCGTATAGTGAGGGTTTGCTGGGAACGTCTCGCGGAGCCCCCTTTCAGACGGACTTTCAACTCACACCTCCGGGAGAGCTTCTCCCAGGTCCCGGCGGAGGAGGGGGACATCGAGTCCGAGTGGACCATGTTCTCTTCCTCTATCGCCAATGCGGCGGCTCGTAGCTGTGGTCGCAAGGTCTCTGGTGCTGGTCCCGGCGGCAATCCCCGAACCCGGTGGTGGACACCGGCAGTAAGGGATGCCGTCAGGCTGAAGAAGGAGTCCTATCGAGCAATGATGGTTCGTGGGACTCCTGAGGCAGCTGTCCAGTACCGGCAGGCCAAACGTGCCGCGGCCCGGGCTGTTGCAGAGGCAAAAACCCGGGACTGGGAGGAGTTTGGAGAGTCCATGGAGCATGACTATCGGTCGGCCTCGAAGAGGTTCTGGCAAACCGTCCGGCGCCTCAGGAGGGGAAAGCAGTTCTTTGCCAACACCGTGTATGGTGCGGGTGGAGGGCTGCTGACCTCGACTGAGGATATTGTCGGGCGGTGGAAGGAATACTTCGAGGTTCTCCTCAATCCCCCCGTCACGTCCTCCGTTCAGGAGGCAGAGGCTGAGGATGTTGGGGCGGACACTTCCATCTCCCTGGCCGAGGTCACCAAGGTGGTTGGCAGCCTCCATGGTGGCAAGGCGCCGGGAGTGGATGAGATCCGTCCTGACTATCTAAAGTCTCTGGATGTTGTAGGACTGTCTTGGCTGACACGTCTCTGCAACATCGCGTGGCGATCGGGGGCGGTGCCAATGGAGTGGCAGACCGGGGTGGTGGTCCCTCTCTACAAGAAAGGGGACCGGAGGGTGTGTTCCAATTATCGTGGGATCACACTCCTCAGCCTCCCCGGTAAGGTCTACTCCAAGGTACTGGAGAGGAGGCTACGCCCGATGGTCGAATCTCGGATTCAGGAGGAGCAGTGTGGTTTTCGTCCCGGTCGCGGAACACTGGACCAGCTCTATACTCTCCATCGGATACTCGAGGGTTCATGGGAGTTCACCCAATCTGTCCACATGTGCTTTGTGGACTTGGAGAAGGCGTTCGACCGTGTTCCCCGGGGTGTCCTTTGGGGGGTCCTCCGGGAGTACGGGGTCCGGGGTCCTCTGCTGAGGGCCGTCTGGTCCCTGTATGACCGGAGCCAGAGCTGTGTTCGCATTGCCGGCAGTAAGTCAGACCTGTTCCCGGTGCATGTTGGCCTCCGCCAAGGCTGCCCTTTGTCACCGGTTCTGTTCACTGTATTTATGGACAGAATTTCTAGGCGCAGCCAGGGGCCGGAGGGGGTCCGGTTCGGGAACCACAGGATTTCATCTCTACTTTTTGCGGATGATGTCGTCCTGTTGGCTCCAACGAACCAGGACCTGCAGCATGCACTGGGACGGTTTGCAGCCGAGTGTGAAGCGGCTGGGATGAGAATCAACACCTCCAAATCCGAGGCCATGGTGCTCGACCGGAAAAAGGTGCCTTGCCCTCTCCAGGTGGGTGGAGAGGTCCTTCCTCAAGTGGAGGAGTTCAAGTATCTCGGGGTCTTGTTCACGAGTGAGGGAAGAATGGAGCGTGAGATTGACAGGCGGATCGGTGCAGCGTGCGCAGTGATGCGGTCGCTGTATCGGACCGTTGTGGTAAAGAGGGAGCTGAGCCGAAAGGCGAAGCTCTCGATTTACCGGTCAATCTTCGTTCCCTCCCTCACCTATGGTCATGAGCTTTGGGTAATGACCGAAAGAACGAGATCGCGGATACAAGCGGTCGAAATGAGCTTCCTCCGCAGAGTGGCTGGGCGCTCCCTTAGAGATAGGGTGAGGAGCTCAGTCACACGGGAGGAGCTCGGAGTAGAGCCGCTGCTTCTCCACGTCGAGAGGAACCAGTTGAGGTGGCTCGGGCATCTGTTCAGGATGCCTCCTGGACGCCTCCCTGGGGAGGTGTTCCGGGCACGTCCCACCGGGAGGAGGCCCCGGGGAAGACCCAGGACACGCTGGAGGGACTATGTCTCTCAGCTGGCCTGGGAACGCCTTGGGGTCCCCCCGGACGAGCTGGAGGAAGTGTGTGTGGATAGGGAAGTCTGGGCGTCTCTGCTTAGACTGCTGCCCCCGCGACCCGGCAACGGATGAAGCGGAAGAAAATGGATGGATGGATGGATGGATACACACTCACACTCACGCGCATACATGCACACACACATACATACAAACATACACACACACATACACACACACACACCCACACACACGCGCACATACACACACACACTCACGCGCACATACACACAAACATACACACACACGCATACATACAAACATACACACATACTCACGCGCACACACACACACACATACATCCATACACACACACACACACAGTATA